ATAACTGGAACTGAAACAGTTCTACTAAATCTAACATAAACTCAATCTTCCGAGTCACCATCTCCTGGTAACTGTGGGTGACATCCCTCCGATAGTTATACATATCCATACGATACGATGTGCTATTCCAAATTGATTTAATTTAACTACAAGGGTAATTTTATTTTACATCACCAAGCAAATGTGATTACTGCCACCTATAAACACACACTGATGCACACACCCACACAGAAAGGCTCCATCACAATGTGGAAACGTATATGTTGTGGGCCCAGATGAACACATCCTCACACTTAATTAAACTCATCATTTCCAGTCATGCTTCAGTTTATCTCTTCTCTTATAAATAATGTACAGCTCCTCTCCTCTCTGTCTTTTTTCTACAAACTGAGGTTCATGAAAAGATCCAGGTTTACTTTCCAGTGTCTTGAGCAAAGCTAAGATTAATTTATCTGCAATTATTATTTATTATGATCAATGTTGTGGTACAATACAAAGACGTAGACTTATACAAAACATAGCGAAAAACCACAAATTGTTTATTTGAGTGGGTTATATGACTTTATTTTTTTATTATTTTTTTTACACTCACGTAACTTTGGATATGTAGCCTTGAAGATGAATACATACAAGCAATGCAAACAGTAGAAATAAAGTCCATTAATAACAACTTGTTCCCAATAATAGGGGTTCGTCTCTTCACTGTAGAGGAAACTTCTGTGTAGCTATGCAGTGGGAGTCACCGACTCAGGAAGGAGACACGGTAGGAGCAGTAGCTTTGATGTCAAACACTGATGGTTTATTTGGAGTTACGGCCGGAGGATTCACATCACAAGTCCAAGAGCCAGAGGTTCTGACATCACGGTAGAGTTGCCACGTCAATTCTGGAGAGCCTCTCTCTTGCCAGCCCATTTAACTGGTTCCACAGAGAGTCATCAACATGTTTTGATAAGATAGCTTTAGATAGTTTGGGCACACTAAGTTACCAGCTTCCGCCACTTATGGCCTTGGATATGTCATGCCCTGGAGTCCTCAGACAACAGAGAAGGAAGTGTCCCAGTGTAGCCACAATACAGACCATCTGTGACCCAGTATTGACCGGTCACAGAATGGGAACAATAACATTATTGGCTGAAACAGCCTGTGTCCTTAAAGGAGGTAAACAGACGTCAGGGTTGGTCCTGTACGTCATATCTAGGAGTCTAGGACAATTATTTCCCTAACATTCACAATTCTTACTTTGACAAAATGTTTTCCCAAGATGCTTCTGCGCAGCTTGGGGTTAAACCCTTCATACATGAAAGCAGAGAATATAGTGCACATCCTGTTGAGTGTGAAGGATCTGAAAGAAATGTCCTGGCATGATTCTGTAAAGCGTTTTCTGCAGACATGCTTCTCTTTCTTTAACCCTCTGACGGGGAGGCTGACAAAAGAAGATTTTGTGAACTTCTTTGTAGCAAAAGTAAAAGTAGTCATTGTGCAGATTGGTCCATTTCAGAATAATATATATGATATGTGTTGTAATGATTGATCATGAAAGTGTTCTCAAAGCTGGTAAAGGTGCAGCTAGTTTGAATGGCTTTGTATACTGCAGGGTAGCTGGTGGATTTACTCCAGGTGGAACTAAAGTCTGATTTAACACTTGATTATATTTCACATCATTCATCCAGATCTGTAAAGTAACTAAAGGTATTCAATACATGTAGTGGAGTCAAAGTACACCCTTTACCTCTGAATTGTAGTGGGGTAGAAGTACTAACTAACATACAACCACCTCTGGTCAATAATGATAGATCTTAATGTCAATAAATGGTCTTTATTTCACATCATTAACCCAAATCTGTGAAGTAACTAAAGGTGTAAATAAATGTAGTGGAGTAAAAGTGCATGATGACCACATGAAGTAGTGCACTTGAGTAAATGTTCTCCCTCTGGAAAAGTTGTATTCATTGCGTGTGTGTGTGTGTGTGTGTGTGTGTGTGTGTGTGTGTGTGTGTGTGTGTGTGTGTGTGTGTGTGTGTGTGTGTGTGTGTGTGTGTGTGTGTGTGTGTGTGTGTGTGTGTGTGTGTGTGTGTTAAATGTCACTAATGATGTAGCGGCTAATAATCTCCAGTGTTCAAACATCCTCCACACTTCACTGCAGGACATTTCCCTGACTCACTGCTTTAGTCTTTGGTTTCCTCACACGACCGTCTGACATTTACTTCCTGTCACTGCACCGGCTTCACCCTCAGGAGACGGCCTCCATGTTTTGGGGGGCAGAAAATGCATCCTCCACTATACTACGCTAAATTGGACGGTGACGCGTGACTATATATATATCCTTTATTTAACCAGGTAAAAGACTCATTGAGATTAAAATCTCTTTTCCAAGAGCGACCTAGCCAAGAAGGGCAGCATGTACAAAGTTACAACAGATAAAACACAGACATGACAGGCAGACAAATACAGCTGTAAAACACAAATAAAATGTCACATTAGCCAGTCAATATGCGAAGTAAAACAAACTATTAAAATCATTCAAAACTGGCAACATTTAAAACGATTTTAGGATATACGAGCATTCACATCTACCAATGGTGTCGTGTTCTCTGTCCTTTAAGATGGACCTGAATTCCCCCATAGTGATTAAATCTGAGAGTTTCAGCTCCTTCTGTACATTGTTCCAAGCTGTGGGGGCAGCATATCTAAAAGCTGTTTTACCCAGTTTTGTTCTCACTGTAGGGACCATTATCTGAATAAAATCTTGGGAGCGCAAGCCATATAGACTTTCTCTTTGACACATATATGTGCAAATGTAGGAGGGAACCAACCCAAGCAGAGATTTATAAATAAAACCCAACCAATGGGAAAGTCTGCGAGCAGACAAAGATGGCCAATTAGCAGCAGCATATAAAGTGCAATGGTGTACTCGATATCCACATCCAGTGATAAATCGTAAGGCACAATGGTACACAGTATCCAAGCTCTTTAGGCATTGGTCAGAGGCATTCATGTATAGCAGGTCACCATAATCTAATACAGGTAAAAACGTTGCAGATATCAAATGTTTCCTTGTCTGAAAAGAGAAACAGGATTTATTCCTGTAAAATAAACCTATTTGTATTTTTAGCTTTGAAACAACATTTTCCGTGTGTAACTTGAAAGACAAGTTCTGTTCAATAAGAAATCCCAGATATTTGTAAGTAGTGACCCTCTCAATGTCAGTCCCTTGTGCAGTACAAATCTTGGGTAGAATAGATGGTAACTTTTTGCCATTCGAAAATATCATCACTTTGGATTTTTCAGCATTTAATACCAACTTTAGTTGATATAAATGGGTTTGTATGACATCAAAGGCAGACTGGAGGAAATCTAGACTTTGCTCTATAGAAGCGGAGGAACAATAAATAACAGTGTCATCTGCATAAAAATGGTAAGAAGCATTTGCTAAATTATTACATAGATTATTTACATATATGGTAAAAAGAATGGGTCCTAATATGGAACCTTGTGGCACACCCTTTGCTATCGGGAGGAAGGAAGAAAAGGACCCAGAAAATTGGACGCATTGGGTTCTCGCTGATAAATAATTTAAAAACCAACCTACAGTATGCCTAGATAAGCCGATACTGTGTAGTCTTTCCGTCAGGATGATATGATCAACTGTGTCAAATGCCTTTGACAAATCAATAAATAGAGCTGCACAATACTTTTTACAGTCCAATGCCTCAATTATGTTGTTCACCACTTTAATAGCAGCAGTTGTTGTGCTGTGTTGTTTTCTAAAACCGGATTGGTGTTCTGACAAAATATCATTTGTGTCCAAGAATAATTTAAGTTTAAGCTTTTCGAGGACCTTCGCTACAACACATAATTTTGAAATTGGCCTATAATTATTAACAGATGAGGGATCCCCTCCTTTCAGTAAAGGAAGAACATATGCAGATTTCCATATGTTAGGAATCTCATTGTTGGAAAGAGTTAAATTAAAAAGATAAGTAAGCGGCTCAGCTATAAAGTCTGCTGCTAATTTAAGAAAATGAGGAGGAAGTTTGTCCGGACCTGCCGATTTGTGTGGATCCAGATTCTGCAATGCTTTATGGAGCTCTATCACCTCGATAAAAGTAAAATTGAATGGCTGAGCCGTGGGATGGGATGAAGGTGGTGAGGAATCAACGTTCTGTCCAGGGCCCGAATGTAGGGACTCAAACAAAGAACCAGATGAAATAAAATGTTCATTAAAGCAGTTGAGACTATCAGGTGCATGCTCAAACAAACTGCCTTCAAGTGAAGCAATGAGAGAGGGATTAAACATGTTTCTTTAAGAAAGCAGCAAACAGTCCAACCTTTTTTACCAGATAAAAATTGTGTTGTAATCTGAAACATTTCCCTGATTATGATAACATGCCTTTTTAATAATAAACAAATGACTCCTTTCCCTCAAACTTAAAAAAAAGTCACATTAGGGTAAAGAGCGTACAGAAAAGTGAGTAAAGTGTACACAAACATTAAAATCCCAATGGTTTTAAACACTACATTTATGAAAAAATACATTTCCTCATACTCATTAAAGTATATTTACTATTGCCAATTACATGGATGACTAGATAGGCCCATTTGACAGTGGAAAAAAAACACTATAACATTTTTAGGATCAATTGTCGCCCTCTTGAGGATCTTTTAGGTAAAGCAGTTGATGACTGAAACTGAAAATGACAGATATCTTCAGAGTCCCTTTATTGGAGATCCAGTTGAAAGTGAGGGATACAATTGCCTGAAAGATTCAACATTCAAAGACTCCAATGTCATATGCAGAGCTACAGTGTAGTTATGGCAATGCAAATCTGAAGTCCCAGGCTCCTTCAACAATTCAACATAAACATGTAGTATTGTAATTATTATTATTAATTTTAATACAGTTAGTGTTTCTATGTTTTCACCACGGGGGGGGGGGGCAGTGAAATTATTTTTTAAATAACACCTAAACTCCCATGATGCATTGCAGTGGTCCGTTGCTATTTTCCGGACCTCAGAAGCTAGACGTTGCTAACAGTCGTTGACGCAGATTTTATACCGAATGTAATGTGTTTAAGAGACTTTTAAAACACATACAACGAGGTAGTTTAACCTTGAAGAGTGATTTATCCGTGCTTTTATCCGTTAAACCGTGTTTTTGTTGCCTCCCGTTCTTTGTTCGTAGCTTTTTATACCACGTCGCTGATCGGTAAACATAAGTAAAGGCATTCAAGGGAGATTAGTGTGTTTAACGGCAGTGTTTTATCAAGGAGAAGAAAGACTGAAGAACCAGGACGAAGAGGAGAGAGAGAGAGGTAACATCTTTCAGTGTGTGTTTGTGTGAGAGAAGTTGCAGCTAGTTTAAATGACTTTGTATACTGCAGGGTAGCTTCTGAATTTACTCCAGGTGGAACTAAAGTCTGATTTAAGAGTTGATTATATTTCACATAATTCATCCAAATCTTTAAAGTAACTAGATGATTACCAAAAACATTTAGTAATTAAATAATTGTAGTGAAGTAAAAGTACAGAGTAGCATTACATGGACATACTCAAGTAAAATACAAGTACCTCTAAATAGTACTTAAGTACAGTACTTGAGTAAATGTAATTAGTTACTTCTCACCTCTGCTATGAACCTACGAAGTGGCTGTCGATTTGTTTTGTTGTGTCTATCAGTTGTATTGAGTTGTCTTGTTTTGTGTCAGCTGTAGTTGTGTTGATTATTTCAGAGACACAGCCGGAGAAGGAGCACTGAGAGCAGCATGGAGGAGAACACAAATAACCCTGGAGCTCAGGTCAGTGTGCACTTCATCACAATATATTCCTAACACTGTTATCCCCAAATGAAAGATCACAACCTGTTTAGAAAATACAATATTAATGCACAATATGGTTAGATATAGGTTAGAACGTTGCTGTATAGCAGAGGTTGGGAATAAGTCATACCTTACATTGCATGTAGCTGACGCTTTTATCCAAAGCAACTTCCAATAAGTGCATTCGACCAACAAGATACAAACTTGAAGAAAACAGAATCATATTAAGTACAAAAGGTTTCATAGAGCCAAAACATTTCAAGTGCTACTCAACTGGCTTTAGATAAGCCAGTCCTTTATTAGTATATAAGTGCTTTGTTAGTAATTCTTTGTTAGTAAATGTATCGCTCGAAGTGGAGTCAAAAGAGATGAGTTTTCAGTCTGCGCTGGAAGATGTGTAAGCTATCTGCTGTCCTGATTTCAATGGAGAGCTCATTCCACCATTTTGGAGCCAGGATAGCAAACCCACGTGTTTTTGCTGAGGGGAACTTGGGTCCCCCTCGCAGTGCGGGTGCAGCGAGCCGTTTGGCTGATGCAGAGCGGAGTGCACGTGCTGGGGTGTACGGTTTAACCATGTCCTGGATGTAGGAAGGGCCAGATCCATTCGCAGCATGGTACGCAAGTACCATTGTCTTGAAGTGGATTCTAGCAGTTACCGGAAGCCATGTGCAAACTGTTTCAAGTCTTAACCTACAAGTCTCAAGCAAGTCCCAAGTTACTGTGGTGAGAGTCAAGCAAGGCAAGTCATACAAAATTCTGATGAATAACCCCAGTTTCCGCATTTAAATCAGTTAAAAGACGGTGTTTATGAAAAATTGAGTTTTATTTTCACATTAACAACAATGGAGAACGGGGCAAGAATCAGATCTTGTACTTTAGTAAAAGTAGAAGTACTCAGGTCTTGTACTTGAGTAAAAGTAGAACTGTTTTAACTTTAGATTAGTTGGAATTACAGTCTTTTAAGGACACAATAGAAACATATGAAACATCTATACTCAATTAATCACTGAAAATGAACTATTACCCATTTTTTAGGAACCCCAAATACAGCACTACATTATTATTTCTCTGGCGTGGAAATGGGTGAAAACTTTTAGATTGAAAAGTTGATGTTTTAGATTTAAATTGTATAGGTCTTTAAGTGTCACATGGTAAGCTATACCAGGTCTGTTATTGAGTTACATTTCCAGATTTAGAGAGGCCCATGGGCTCTTTGCTAATTATCAATAGATGTATTAATTTTAAAGTGAGCTGACACAGAGTTTAGAGGAAGTGCAAAGAGGCGCTGTTTAGATAATACAGTTATGTCTTTGTTAGTTAATTACTCCTAAAGGCGTCATGAGATGATGACCTTCTGATATCTAAAAACATATACAAGTATGGCATTCAGAGCAGTGGCGGTTCTACGGGGTGGCAGCTGCCACCTCAGAAAAATGCCTTGCCACCCCAGTTGGCAGCTTTGTTTTGAAAGAAAAGATGTGGCTCATCGGACATTTATGAGAGAAAATCTCTAATGTGCAAGTAGGGTTGGGAACCGAAACTCGGTTCCAGATGAGAACCGATAAGAAAATGCCGGGTACCGGGTACCCATACAAAATACACAATTTCGGTTCTGCTTAACGGTTCCTAAACGCGGTAGACCCTGTATTCCAGCGGGTCCGTCTGCACCGCGGTGCTGCGGTGACCCGGTGGAATACAGGGCGGACTTGGAGAATCACAGAACGGCCGGTCGTCAGCGGGCCGTTGACGGCCGGCTCGGTACGCTGACGGCCGGCACCGCCCTTCATTTTTTTAAACGGCATCATATAAATTGCGCTGACAGGCGACAGAGGTCCACAGTTGCCCCGCAGCGATGCTCCCCCCGCCCTCCCGTAGACATTTCACCAGCTCAGTCACTTCATAACACCAAAGATAGGTCGCGGTAAACACTCTGAAGTGAGGCTCCACTACACTAAAAAAGAAAAAGAAAAGGCAAAGTGTAATGCCTGTTAATAGCTTGCCACAGGCATAGCTCAGTTAAAATAAAGCACAGCTATTGTGCAATACATTTGTATTGCATGTATATTTTTGAGTAACAATTTCAGTTAAAGCTTTTAAGAATAAATATATTTTTGTTATCTAAACGTTTGACCTCTTTATTTTACAATTTTGGAATCGAAACGGGGAATCGATAAGAACCGGAATCGATAAGCAGAACCGGAATCGAAATCGGAATCGATAAATTTCAAACGATACCCATCCCTATGTGCAAGTGAATGCAGCACAAGACGCGAGCCTTGTAACCCCTCCCCCGGCCCTGGCGCGAGCCTGGAAATATGATTGGCGGCGATTTCATTTGAACGGGGGGACAGCGCAAAACGAGAAGCATTTCGGATCCAAGTAGACGGAAGGAATGAGGTATTTGCAGTCTACAATGACAGAGAAGAGCCTGTCAAGTTTGGCTGTGCTGCAAGGCAAGTTTATTTATATAGCACTTTTCTGTACACGACAATTCAAAGTGCTTTACAAAACAAATTAAAATACTTTTTAGGAATAAATACAGTAAAAACACATATATAATTGCATTTTACAACAGGCATTAGAAAGCAAAGATAATAAGATAATTAAAATAAACACCACAGGTAAACAATACATGTTTAAAAGGCATACTGTAGTGCGAATATGAGCAGCTCAATTAAAAGCAGCCAAAGACATATGTTTTTAGTCTCGATTTAAAAATAGTAAGTGCTTCTGCGGACGTGCATGATTTGGGTAGTTTCTTCCAGAGTGTCGGGGCATAATAGCTAAATGCTGCCTCTCCATGTTTTTTTTTTACTCTCGGAACCGATAGCAGACCCGTCCCAGAAGACCTGAGGCACCTTGATGGCTCGTAATTATGTAGGAGTTCAACAATATACTTTGGTCCTAAACCATGTAATGATTTAAAAACTAGCAATAGTACTTTAAAATCAATTCTTTGGCCGACTGGAAGCCAATGTAAATATTTCAGAACCGGACTGATGTGATCCACTCTTTTAGTGTTAGTGAGGACACGTGCAGCAGCGTTCTGAATCAGCTGCAGCTTTCTGATGGATTTTTTTGTCAGCCCTGTGAATACACTATTGCAGTAGTCGAGTCAACTGAAGATAAAAGCATGGACAAGCTGTGAGAGAATATTTTAATCCAATCTGTGTATTTAGAGGTTCTCAGTCTTTCTGGAAAACTGTTAATCACAAAGTAATGCTTTTCGTTAAACCGCATATACTCCTGCCTGTAATGTGATCCTGCGTGTAACCTACAGGAGGACAGGTCAAGACGTCATCTGACTTCCTGTGGGGTGAGGGGTTTGGGCACATGAGAAGTTGCAACACAAAGGTGCCTTTGTTCCGATGTCTGGTACTGATTAGGGAAAATGCGGGAATATAGATCCCTCCTCTTTTAATGTATAGATCTGTGCTGTGGTCCTTTGTCTCCAGAGTTTGCTTGGTGTCTCATAAAGAAGTTGTGAATATACCTTGTGAATTCTCCGGCCGCATTATACTCTTAATAAATATCAGCATTTGACTAAAGCAGCTCCAGCTTCCATCCTTTCTGCACAGAAGTTTTCCTCACACAAGCTAAGTCCTGTTGTGACATTAGTTTTTTAATCCTCGATATGTTCTTCAGGCTGTACTCGGCATTGAATCAAAACGCACTAAAGCTTTGGATCTTAATAAGTTTGTGAGGCGTTTTGCTGAACAAGATGGTAATCGCCGCATTCAGCTGTTATAGGCATGCCAACTTGATGCTCTGCTCACGGATGACTCGATGAGCATGAAAAACTGTTAAGATGATGACCTTACGTGTGTAAATATATTGTTTTCTTTGTGGGGGTCTGCACCCAAAAAACAGTTTTGAGTCCTAAGAAAGTCAAATAAGACGGTGTGTAAAACTACACTGCCCAGCCAAAAAGAAGTAACCACTTTCATTTAACTAGGCCAGTAGGTAAGGACTTTCCACTGGATAATAACTGCAGCAATGTATGTTTTAGCTGAATACACATTGTTTAACCCTAACTGATGCAGTTAGTCACTTCTTTAATGTTTGTTCTTTCTGATGTAAAGTCAAGGTTGTAACTGTTTGCAATGAAGTTGTGGGGCGCTGAACTGTTCCTTTGATTCTTTTGATATATGATGGTAATTGCTTGTCTTTCAAATTTGAAGGAGGGTGAGCATCTTGTGGAACATTCATCATTAACTCCTCCAAAAAATATAGTTTATTTAATAATAACACTGAATATGTGAATCATAAAAGTGATTGACAGCTGATAGGAATAATATGATTGTTAATAGTATCATATTAATTTAGACAAACATCGACGAGACAGTTAATTAATGTACTTATTGCAGCAGTCTGCATAGATTTGGTACCCCTGCTGGTCTAAGAGTGAAACAAACTCATTCAGTTATTGTTCAGTTAAAATTCATTAAATGATGTCTGCCACCTTATATATTTAAGGCTTTACTGATGTGCCACAATAATGTCACCAAATGTTATTGAGTTAAAATATTAATATTGTGGCTTTCCAAGTTAACATTAATTGATATGACTGCGATTAAATCAGCATATTCTTCTGCCACCCTCTTGTCACCCCATGAATATTTTCTAGATCCGCCCCTGATTCAGAGGGAAAACATGTGATGTCGTGTGTTAGTTAAAGGACATCTATCATGCTATATTTAAATGATATATTGTAGGGCCATACTTATATAACGTATATTTAATTTATACGTTTCTGTTTTCAAAATGCCAAACAGATCATGCACTTTAGCCATGCCTCATTTCGCTCTATTTGCTGTTCTCCAGCCCTGTTTTTGCAGGGGGCTGATTCTGTGAGCTGCAGCTGACCACGCCCCCCTGCAGGAGAGGGGAGCGTGCTCTGATCAAGTCAGAAGAGGGGGGCATGCACGGAGGCGAGTAGACGTGTGTCCTGACAGCTCCAAGATTAGTGACTTCAAAAT